GAACCGCAAGTACAAGGTGCCAAAATGGTTGCTCCAATCTCGTTTTGAGACTATGATCTTGAACGTGGCCAGGGTCCGCGCAGCTGCTGAGGAGCTTCTGGGGTACGACCCGCACATCCTGAACTGGGACCAGTCGCCCTTTCACCACAACGAGTCGTCGTCGGCCTCGAAGCCGACCTTGGCTGTGAAGGGTGGCATTGTCCCGCTTGTCGAGGCGCATGACGACAGCAGGGCTCGGTGGACAGCGAACCTGACGGTGTCGAGCGACGCGGAGGACATCCGCAGTTGCGGACCACCGCCGGCGGAGCTAATGTTCAAGGGGGGATCTGTCATCGCTGAGGGCTTGGCCGCACATGCCCGCAGTCGCGGCTATCCGTCTTGGGTGAGCACGGCGACGTCCGAGAAGGGGTCCTACCGCGCAGACGACGTTGTATCATTCTTGCAGCGGCACTTGCGGGCCTGGCCCGACGACCCGCAGTTGCGGGGAAAGTGGCGCATCCTCATGGCCGACGACCATTCCCCGCACAAAGCAGACGCTGTGCGGAGACTCGCCTGGCAGCGCGGCTACGTGCTGATCATTCACGGCGGGGGGACGACCGCAGTTGCGCAGCCCGTGGACACGGACTTGAACCAGCACGTGAAGCGCCGGTACATTGCCCTCGAGACCAAAGCGCTGGTGCAGCAAATGGCGTTGGGGAAGCACGTGCCGCAGTTGCGGCGTTCCGATTGCGCCGACTTGATGCTGTCAGTGTTGGAGAATGTGCAGTTGCACTTGGACGCCGCGAAAGGTTTCCTGAAAGTGGGAATTCGAGCGCCCTTCGACAAGTCAGGAGATCTCGAGATTTGCCGAGAGGCGGCGGAACTCTGGGAAGCAGGGGGGCTGCGAGCAAAAGTGGACACCGCAGTCGCGGAGGTGAGGGAAGAATGCGAGCAGAAACGTTTGAAATGGTCCTACAATGACGTGCTGCGTCTCATACACGAATACGAGAAACACGACGCCACAGATTCCGTGTTGGAGAAGCTCGGCGACGAAGCGCTCGGCCAGGAGCCAGGCCACGAGGAGGGCGATGAGGAGGGCGGGGAGGAGGAGGAGGAGGAGGTGCACGAGGAGCACGAGGAGGACGAAGAGCAAGAGGAGGCCTCGTGGGCCGAGGCTCTTGCGGAACAGTGCGATGCCGCAGTTGCGGCACCTGGGCCTCAAGGATCCTCGGTATCCATGGACTGCGTGGTCGACGCAGAGGCGGCCGAGCAGGTGGCAGTGGCGACGTCCTTGGCAGAAACGCTCCGCGAGGCGGAAGATATGCTGCGCCAAGTGGGCATGGAGAAACTAGCGCAGGATTGCCGACAGCAACGACACAAACAAAAGAAGCGGTTGAGAGAGCTGGCGCGGGAGGACAACGAGGTCCTACGAGCGTTGACTGCCCAGCGAGACCACGAAGCCGCAGTGGTGGCGAAAAAGCGGCGCCTGGCTCTGGAAGCGAACGACAGGACGAAGGCGTTGCACGATCTCAAGAAGCAGATTCGAGAGGCCGAGGCCGCCTTGAGGGCAAAGAAGGAGGCCGCAGTTGCGGTGGAAACGGCTTTGGCTAACAAACACGCCCTAGCGCAGTGGAATCCCGAGGAGTTCAAGATCAAGAAAAACAGGATGGCAGCTCTGGATCGCCTGGCTCGCGGAAAAGGCGTCCTCTCAGACGAGCAGAGGGGGGAGTGGGCATGGTTCAAGACGCATTGGGACGAGGAGATGTGCAAGCAGCACAAGGAGCAATGGCCGCTCACGTTTGCTGGGTGGCTGCAAAAAGTCGCGAACGACGCGGCGTCTGGGAACCGTTCGGCGCTGTCGCAGTTCGTGCATTCGGAAACAGTGAGAACCCTGGGAGGGCAAATGGCGCTGGTAATCCCAGCCCTAGCGTGATGCAGGCCGCAGTTGCGGACCCACAGGAAGTCCAGAGGGAAGTTGTTTTTCCAAGCGGCTCCCGCGCGGGCAGGAGATGAGGCAAAACCGCAGTTGCGGTCTTCCTGCTGCTGTGAAAATAATCCTTTCACAGTCCCTTGCAATCGTCGCCCTCCTTCTGCTTCTCCGCCAGTCCATTTGTTGTTCTTTCGGTTCCTTTGAGTCCTCGCCCTCCTTCTGCCACTCCTCGAATCCTCTTTGTCTCCTCCCTCCATCCGACCCCATGCCCATTCACGATCCATTTCCGTAGCCACCGTGGCTCGAGGTGGCGCACGCGAAGACGCAAGCATGTGGCCGCCCGCGCGCCCGAGCGCATCCTCAGGGAGTATGGACCGTGGACCTCGATTCGCCAGAACGGTGTTCATCCACAACGCTGAGGAGGAGGAGGGAGGCAAAGACGAGGAAGCCGCAGTTGCGGATGATGACGACGACCAGCGGACGCAAGATGGCGACAGCACCGTCGCGTCCTCGGCTGCCTCCGCTGACGAGGCTGAGTCCCAGGGAGGTGCGGGAGCCGCAGTTGCGGCAGCACATGACTCCTACATGCCGAGAGTGTTGTCGTCGCGGAGACCCTGGAAACGGGTGCCCATCATCGAGACAAGCAATCTGTCGGAAAAACAAAGAGCTCTTGTCGACGCATGGGAGGAGAAAACGGAGTTCGAAGCGGGACGGGTCGGCTTCTACGTGGCCAACTTCGGAGGGACTGCAGCTAGACCCACGCAACGCGCGGACGAGTGGGCGCAGCTCCGCGCGAACCCTGCCCAGATCATCGCCCTCTGCGAGTGCGACGACGAGACCTGCGCGGTACTCAGTGGGGAGCACGACGCGAGGGACAGTGCAGCCGCAGTTGCGGACGATAGGTTTCGGAGTCGGACTCAATACAACTACCTGTGCGTTAAGGGCGGCGAGCCATCAGGGACCCTCCTTGTTGGCATGAGGGACCGCAGTGGCGGCCACATTGAACACGTAGACTTTGCGAGACTCTTCCACAAGCAGGAGAAGTCCAAAACGAAGAAGAAGAAGAAACAGTCCGCAGTTGCGGAGGCTCCTGCGCCAAAGCTGCACAACAAGTACTCCAGGGCGATGGTGGTGCGCGTCCACCTGGACCAGGCCGTGCCCCATTTGGGGGGCTCCTTCAACGTCATGGCGGTGCACGTCCACCACAGCTTGGCCAACCAAGACTGGGGCGTCACGAAGCTCCATGAGTTCTACAACTGGTTCGTCGCCTACGTCAGGGAATGGGACGTGAAGGTCTGCATGGGGGACTTCAACATGTGCATGTTCCAGCTTGTGTCCTGGTGCCGCAATTGCGGCCTGACTGTGGACGTCGCCGCGTGGACCCCCTGGAAGACAGCAGGCGGCCAGCCCAGGGCAGACAGCATGGCGATTTTGTTCATAAACTGTCCTGGGCAGTACAAGCTTCACCATGGCCTGAGTGTTCTGCACGACCGTGAGGGCGGATTCTTGACGACCCAGCATGATCCGTCTTTCCCTGTCTTCGACTACACGAATGGCCCTGGGAAGATGCTTCAGACTTACGTGCCCAAGGCTGAGCCCGTTGAAAACAAGATGCGCGCCTTCCTGACGCCATCTGGCGAATCCTTGACCGCAGTTGCGGAGTTCGAGCAAAGGATGGCGCGCAGGGAACGCGACGATTGGGTGCGCCATCCCTTCAGAGTGAAGCAGGGCAACCTCGACGACAAGATATGGCATGGCGCCTTCGGCAGGGCGAGGCACGGAGCGCACTTCCCTCTGGTGGCTTTCACGCACAATACGTGCCGCAGGTCACCTGAAAGACTCGCCGCGAGGTTGGAACGCAGGAAGGGCGGCAGGAAGGGCGGCAAGAAGGGCGGCAAGAAGGGCAGCTACGCGGACACCGCAGTTGCGGGGAAGGGCGTCCGACCCCAGATGGGAACCGCAGTTGCGGGGAGAGACGCTGGGGCTGAGCGAGCTGGGAACACGCCACCGCCGCAAGCTGCCAACGGCGACGATGCGACCCCTTCTTGTGCCGCAGTGGCGGCTGGGTCCTGGGACGCCAGCGGCAGCGGCGCATGGGAGGCGCGCAGTCCCGCCACGAGATGGCAGGGCTGGTCCTGGTGGGACTGGAGCTCGAGCGAATGGGGCGCTGATGGCGCGCAGTGGTGGCCCTCTGATCATGCCGCAGTTGCGGACAATGCCCCTGAGGGCTCGCCTCCTCAGCGTGAAGTCGAGTGGGGCTCGAGCGGGCGACCTGCCGAGCGCCCTCCGTGGAGCTTCGAGGGGCAGTGTTGGTGATGGCCGCAGTTGCGGGCAAGTGGAACATGATGTTGATTGCCGCAGTTGCGGACAGTGTACGCTGGAAAAATCATCATCATCATCAATCATAATCATCATCATATCATCATATCATACGTTCAAAGCAGTGCCGGGGCACTGCTTTGAACGCGTTCAAAGCAGTGCCGGGGCACTGCTTTCGATCGTCGCCTCGTCGCAGTTATAAGGGCTATTGGATTAGCTTTCGTCTTCGGCGATGACAACGAATGTCGGCCCAGGTTGTAACCATGTCGTCTCAAACGAAGGTTTGAAACCGTGTTCCAATTTGCGCTGGTTGATCTACTCTGTCTGAAGTCTCGCGTCAGCGGCGCACCATCTGGCTCTGGTTGTTTGTGGGATCAGACGAGAGTACTCTGGAAGACAGCGGGGCTATGAACGAGATAGTAGCGACTCTAGTCCAGCATTGCCGACGCTTCGCCAGTGCAACGTTGGCACATCGTTTTGGAAGCTTGCGCGTTGGCCCCGCTTGCCCCGCTAACACCGACCCCCCCCCTTGTGGTCCCTTGCGCCGTTACCCTTAAGTCTGGCATGTCCTTCGATCTACAAGAGGAATCCTCAAAAGCAGTAACAAAAATAGTAGAGGCACGGTTTCTCGATTATTGTTGCTGATACGTTTGAGTATGTTATGACCATCTGTATGGTTCCTCCAAAATCCGCCGGTAGGAGGACATGCCCGAACTAAGGTTACCCTGAGTCCGTGCGATGTTGTTTCTCGTTTGCCCATTGTTCCCCCGAGGACCGCGGCGCCGGACATGACGTTCTCGTTGGCTGTTGGGAGCGGCCAGCGGCGGAGGGAGAAGGGCCCTTTCACGCACAACTTCGCGAGGGAACGGTTGTTCAGGACCCACCTGTTGTTTGTTGCCGGTTGCAGCCAGTGCTATGCATTGTTCTATACGTGTGGGTCACACATGCGTACATTATACACCTATGAATGCAATGATGTGTGCGCGCGCGTTCCCAAACAGTTTTGCACTTACGGATCCTTACCTCTGTTCTACAAAGCTCAGCCTGGGTGTCGGCCTGGCGGCTGCATGATTGCCGTCGCCGCCGCCTCGTCGCCGCCCGTGGTCTGGGACTGGGTGTCGGTCTGGCGGCTCCGTGCTTGTTGTCAGCGCCCCGTCGCCGACTCGTCGCCGCCCGTCGTCTTGGCCTCTGCGTCGGCCTGGCGGCTCCGTGCTCGCCTTCGCCGCCCCGTCTCCACCTCGCCGACAGCATAGATCGCGCCGCATAGATTGCAGAACGTCGATCGCACCGCATAGACTGCTCCACATGGATCGCGCCGCATTGATTTTCCTTTCTCATAGAAAAACTCGGATCTCCCCCCCCCCCCCGACTGAACGGGCCACTTTTTCGTACTGCAATTTACATCTGATTTCGCCCCACCGTCCATCTTCAAGATGAATTCCTACCATCCCAGACAGGCGCTTATCGACTTCCCTCCCCATCCTCTCCAATAAGTACTATGCGCGCGCAATCGTTTACCAAAACTCATCACTTTTCAAGAACCACCTGCAAACAGCGGGGCGACGTGTCAGCAGCTCAGAGCTCAGAGCTCAGAGTTTCGAGGATGTCTCAGGCGAAACGGGCCAGACCACCTCGCGCGCGGCATCTCAGAGCTCAGAGTTTCAAGGACGTCTCAGACGAAACGGGCCAGACCACCTCTCGCGCGGCATCTCGGAATGCACAAGTGCGAGGATGTCTCAAGTGAAACGGGCCAGACCACCTCTTGGCGCGCATCTCGGGGCTCAGAGCTTGGAGGATGTCTCAAGCGAAACGGGCCGGACCACCTCTCGCGCGGGATCAGAGAGCGCAGAGTTGCGAGGATGCTTCAGGCAAAACGGGCCGGACCACCTCGCGCACGGCACATCAGGACTCGAGTTTGGAAGATGTCTCAGGCGAGACGGGCCGGACCACCTCTTGCGCGGCATCTGGGAGCCGAGAGTTTCGAGGATGTCTCAGGCGAAATGGGCTGGACCACCTCTCGCGCGGCATCTGGGAATTCAGAGTTGCGAGGATGTCTCAGGCGAAACGCGCCGGACCACCTCGCGCAGGGCATATCAGGACTCAGAGTTTGGAGGATGTCTCAGGCGAGACGGGCCGGACCACCTCTTGCGCGGCATCTGGGAGCCCAGAGTTTCGAGGATGTCTCAGGCGAAATGGGCTGGACCACCTCTTGCGCGGCATCTCAGAATTCAGGGTTGCGAGGATGTCTCAGGTGAAACGCGCCGGACCACCTCGCGCACGGCACCTCAAAGCTCAGAATTTGGAGGATGTCTCGAGCGAAACGGGCCGGACCACCTCTCGCGCGGCATCTGGGAGCTCAGAGTTTGGAGGATGTCTGAGGCGAAAAGGGCCAGACCACCTCGCGCGCGGCATCTCAGAGCTCAGAGTTCAAGGACGTCTCAGACGAAACTGGCCAGACCACCTCTTGCGCGGCATCTGGGAACTCAGAATTTGGAGGATATCTCACGCGAAACGCCCAATCCCGGACAACTCAGAAACGAGAGTTGCGAGGATGTCTCAGGCGAACGTCTTCGCTTTGAATTCCCTCGGCCGGAGTTAGCTTGTATCACAACAGCACCCCGTTCAGCAAGCTGTTTGGGGAAAAAAGAGTCCGACCAAATGGGGCCGGAGGATTTTGCCGCATCATCGATGCATCAATAATGCGGCTCGATGTGGAGCCCGATTATTTCCCTTCCGACGTCGGCGATACTTCGCCGACGCCGTTGACTCATCGCCAATGCATCTGCGATGCATCGACAATGCGGCGCCACCTTCTGGCCCCATCTATCGCGGACCCAAGGTTGACGGCCCCCACCAACACGGGATGAGTTTAGATATTAAGTGTTGTGTGTCTGAGAATTACACACCGCTGATGGTGCAATTTTCTAATAGGCGTTGTTTGCAGAAAAACGTGCGGCTATGAGCGTTGCGAACGCTCGTTTTGCATGGCACATTCATGCTACACCTCGCCTGATCTGCACTCAAGTCGCCCATTCCTGTGATGCCTAGCCAACGCACGGAAGGATCGCGGGAGGAGAGCAAGCGGCTGCCATATGAAAAGCAGGGGTTGGATGAGGAGGATGGCACGCACGAGGGTGAAAATGCCGCTTGCAGTGTACCGGCGGCGCAGGAGGATTGGGACTTCGGTCCGGCGCCGACCTCAGAACTTCGCGCGGGCTTTCGACTGTTGGCAGCGTCCACGGATGATTTCTACATCTGGTCGTGCATCCGTCTCTCCAGGGCGAGTCGCTCCTCTCAGAGCTGTTCGGACCCACAGCTGATGGTGATTCACAGTGTGTAGCAGCTAATGCGCAATTGGCTCACAGAGTATCTCGCCAGGGCAGGGGTTCTTCTGGCAGAGGAGTCCTCAGGCTTTCCGCCATTTTCCGCATCCTGGTTCCCTTTCCTGGGTCCCCGGACCGTCAACAAAAACGGTTCAGGATGAAGGGCTGATTTGGGGAAGCCCAAGGTCCATGATTCGTTTCCATTCGGACCCCTTTGCATCGTGGCCATAATCTGTCGTCAATCGATTCGCAATTTGTTTGGGATAGGGCCACACTTGAATTCATCTTGCGCCACAACGGATGCAACGTTTACTCGCGTTTGGCTCGCGATTCACATTTGGTTCGTAGTTGATCCGCACACTCACGACACTTCAGCCATACTTCAGAGGGTCAGAGGGCCGGTATTCACAATTGATACAGATACCCCCCCCACGTGAATTGAGAGTTTTGTCGCAATCGACTTGCACCACGTTCGCAATTGATCTGCAATGGTATCGCCGTTCGTTCAGTGCCTTCACTCTCGGTCCGAAGGTGCCCCACAGTTGACATCTGTTTGATTCACAACGTATCCAACTCGCGGCACCACGACGCTATGGCACGGCGGTTCCACGACACCGTGACGCCGCGACAACGACGCCAGAGCACTGGCACACCGCGACACCTCCGAGCGCGAAACGTCGCCAGCGGAGGAGCAGGACGAATCCTCGACGCGGCCTTAGCACTTCGGCGTCTCGTTCGCAGTTTGGCACGCGCGGCCCGCCACCCACGACACACGCACGACAGGATGTATTCGAGAGGTCCTGGGGGCTCCAGGCGGTTTCCGTCACCAGTCTCCGAGTTTGCGAAGTGTGATTGTGGTGTGCACAGGTCGTCCATCGGCCCGTTGCGTGCACCAGCTTTCAGAAGCCTCGCGACTCGAGTGCTCGTGTCTGACCGCCAAGCTCTACTCGTGATTCCGCCGAGGATTTCTTCATGAAAGAGCAAAAGCTCCCAGAATCTGGTACCAATAGCCGACAGGCAGCGCTGAGATGGGCAGGGTCACAGGGTGGCAGGACGCCATCAGGGATAGAGCTGCGTTAGACCGGCAGGGGTTCCCAGGCCATCGAGGGGGACAACGAGGCGACCTCGACGTTCTCCGTCCATTTGGAGATAGCGAAGGCAGCGTTTACAGCGCGCCAGAAGCGGGCTGGCCAGCGCGCAAACATCACGCGTGCGATACAGAGGACTAGGACGCTTCAGCTTGCCTATGCTGTGATGTTTCAGCTTCACCGCTGTCATGAGATCGGCAGCGAGCTTTCCAGTCTCGATGGGTTCTTGACCCCATTGGTGCCTTCTGCGGGTCGTGGATCGGAGACCTTCGCTGCTCCCTTCTGAGTCGGATCAAGCCGGGACCCTGCTCTTCCTGTTCACCCTCTTTTTCTTCCTCTTCCTGGCCCAGGCTGAGCCCGACCCTTCCCTTTCTTCACACTCTAGGTTGGGTATGCCTTGCGGAGGTCCGGGGCCCTCAGTCAAATCAGCTCAGCTTGGATGATGGTTCGACTGGGGCTGTCCGTTCTCATCGCTTGCGTGGCGTCCCAGATTTTGTTGGGATCGAGAAGGTCTTCGCATTTCATGTGTTTCAGAACGTTCGTTCGGATTTTGAAGGGTGTTCGCGAAGGCCGCCGGGAGGACCTTTAGATCAAAGAGCCAGAAGCGCTGATGCGGAATATGGAAATGTTTCTAGGTTTCCATCGTTTCCAGGTCGGTTGTTGGAGTGGTGTCTTCGCGCATCCGGGCAGGCTGGAGGTCGAACGCTGGAGCACCGTGACTGGCATGGCTTATCGAGACCCTGCTTCTTAGCTCTGGCCGCACGGCAGTTCGAGCCCCCATGCCGTGACGAAGGGCCGAAGCGGGATGCATCGGAGAGGTGGAAGGGGGGGGGGGAAGCGGAGGGGGCACCGAGAGGAGGGCATCGGGCGGCGGTGGACTTTCATTTCGTCCGCTGTCGTTTCGTACCCTTTCGAGTGTTCCTCTTTCGTTTTGTCCTCTTTCGATGTGTTCTCTTTCGTTTCGTCTTTCTTCAATTCGTCCTCTTTCGTTTCCTTTGGTCCTCTCACGTTTTGTCCTCTTTCGGTCCGTCCTCTTTCGTTTCGTCCCCTGTCCTTTCGCCCGCTTTCAAAGCCCAGCCGAGCTTGAAGCCCGACGAATCGAAGCGGACGAATCGAAGCGGACGAACGGAAGCGGGCGAACCGACGTTCGGTCGAGCGGACGCGGAAGCGGCGGCGGCGCGGCGGCCCCGCTGGCCCGAGGGAGCTCCCTGCCCGCCCGCCCTCCCCGCCGCCTCGGGGATAGCGAGGGCAGTCCACGCCCCCCTCCCCGCCGCCCTCGCCCCGCCGCCCCGGGGGTGCGCCCACCGAGGAGGGCCAATTTTTAAGTCGACTACACGTTAGAGTGGCCCTTCGCCAGAGTGACCTTTGGTGCTGGCCCAAAGGGGGTCGGGTAATTTTTCTTTTGGAATGAGCTCGACCTCGCGTCGGCACCCGCATCGCGCGATTACGCTCGCATCTGGGCGCGCCAGGTCCTGGCCCACCCCTTGCAATCGACAGTAACGCATATGCGGCGCACCCTACAGTTTGCATTGGTTACTCGGGTTGGGGGCCCGCCGACCAGACGGCGCCTTTTTCCGGCCCAGGACCAGTCCCGAATGCCAGCCCAATTCCGAAAACGTCTGGCTTGAATATCTTTGGATTTTTTGAATATATTTGAACATCTTTGAATACGCTTGAATATGTTTTTCGAATCAATGGGGATCTTTACTGTTACAAGTTACCCAACAGACGCTATCGCAATGCGGCCCGGCAGTGCCAGACCTCCTCGCGGTGCCCCCCCAGCAGTGTCTGCTTTCGCAGCGCCTTCGAAGTGCCATTCGGGGCGCTCGAATTCAATCGGCGGAATTCCGCGGTTGCCCGCTGGCACAAAAAAAATGTCGGGCGGCGCCCCGCCGATCGTTGATGCGGCGCGGCAACGCCGGCTTGCGCGATTGCGCTGGGCCCCCACGGGCGCCCCTGAAACCGCGCACCAAGGATCAATCTAGCCCGAGGTCACTCCTACGCGCAGTCGATTAAGTCGGGCCTGTCCCTCTACAGGAGGAAGGTTCCAAACTAGTCAAAAAATATTCGGGGGACGAGTATTCTACTATTTGGGATGTTTTTCTATTGTCTATTTTCATTGTTCGTCCAAAATCCGCCTATAGGGGGACAAGTCCAACCTAAGCCAAGTCCAGAGTCGAACCTCCTTCCGGGGTGAATCCCTCCTGCGCTCGCCCAAGCGAGGTTCCGCTCCAGACTCGTTACCAGTTAGAAACATATCCCTGTCCCTGTGCTGGGCATCGCGTCATCTCGGTGCCGAACTGAAGGATTCCCGCAGTTTCTGAGGGCACATCCCGAAGATTGTCCTCGCCTTTTGCTCGCCCATCTTAGGGGTAGGGATAAGTTCGAGGCTGGTCAACACGGCCTTCCTGAAGCCTTCACCCTCCTTTTTGTTGGCCGCCCCCCCGACCAACACAAAAACGAGCGACACCAGCCCACCTTCGGCCCTCCATGTTGCGGTACGGTCCTTCGGGCGCCGTAGCGTGTACCACGCAGCAGCCCACGCCAGAGTTCCGGATATACGCTGAGCCCCATCTGGGCCGTGGGTGTGTTGGTGTCCTATGCTTTTGTTGATCCAGTCGTTGGGACGTTTTGGGGCTCCGTCGAGGCCTTCTTGAGCCGTCGTCTTGGGGCGTCATGTGGGTCCCTTTGGAGCGTCTTGCTCTGTCGCATCCCCATGCTCCCGTCTCCGCCCCCTCCTTTATCCCAGGACCCCGTTCCTGCTTGGGCGGAAGCTCCCCTTTCCAACCCGCTCCCCTTTTCAGGTGAAGCGCGCATCGTAGGCAACAGTTCGTTTAAACGTTGTTGCGAGCCCTTGTAGAAGGGGTCGAACGCTGCCACCTCCTCCCCTCGCGCAGCCGCCCTCGTCTTCGTCCCTTCCTCGTACACGCCGCACAATTCGCCTTTCGGTTGCCCCGATTAGCCTCACGCTGGTGCGGACTGCCTCTGTCTCGCCGCCGACGGAGAAATGTAACGGGTCGAACGCCCAATCCACCGTCCGCCGCTTGATGTCTGCGACGGCATGCTTGCAACGGGATGGCAGCGGCAATGAGCCCATTGAAGGCAAGACATGGCCCGAAGGCAAACATTGTGGCAAGGGAGGCACTTTTTTATCTGTCTTCAGAGAGCCCGCCGAAGGCAAACACGTCTGCTGTCAGCGAGCTCACCGAGGGCAAACGACACTGTGCCTTCAGCACAGGGCGAGGAGGGGGAGGAGGAGGAGGAGGAGCGAGGAGCAGGAGGAGGAGCGAGGAGGAGGAGGAGGAGGAGGAGGAGGAGGAGGAGGAGGAGGAGGAGGAGGAGGAGGAGGAGGAGGAGGAGGAGGAGTAGGACCTCGAGGAGGAGGAGGAGGCATGGGCGCGTTGTGACCCCATCCCAGCGGGATGGGGGAGAGGCGGAGGGACCGAGACCGGACCTTGCAGACGCCCCTGCCCCGTCGCGGTTGCTGGGGCCTTTGAGCCTCAAGCTCCCCCCCCCTCCACGTTTTTGTTCCTCCTTCGAATAAAGTTGGGTCGAGGCGCCTCCAGAGGAGTGGCGCCTGCATCCCTGTGCTGCCCCTCTTCGCACCTTTCTGTCTGTTTCTTCCTGTGCATGGCTGCTCCCAGAGATGTTCACGCTCCAAGGCGCTGCGGAACGGACATGATGGGCGGAGCTTCCACCACCAAAACCAGAGGGAGGAGGAGGAGGAGGAGGAGGAGGAAGAAAAGGAGGAGGAGGGGCGAGGAGGAGGAACAGGAGGAGGAGGAGGACACGAGGAGTAACTAGAAAGAGGAGGAGAAAGAGGAGGAGGAGGAGGAGGAGGAGGAGGAGGAGGAGGAGGACATCACCGATCCTCCCTTCCCACCCGTCTTGCCTATAGTGGTGGTGGTGGAAAGTTGGCTCACTAGGAACGGAAGAGGAGGATGCGTGGAAGCGTAGGGAGGTGGAGGAAGAGGAGAGGCCCCCCCCGGGCGGAGGAGGAGGAGGAGGCGGAGGGAAGGAAGAGGAAAAGGATGATGATGATGATGATGATGATGATGATGATGATGATGATGATGATGATGATGATGCTGCTGCTGCTGCTGCTGATGCTGATGCTGATGCTGATGCTGATGATGATGGTGATGGTGATGGTGATGGTGATGGTGATGATGATGATGATGCTGATGATGATGCTGCTGCTGATGCTGCTGATGATGCTGATGAAGATCATGATGATGACGATGATGCTGGTGATGATGCTGGTGATGATGCTGTTGATGATGGTGATACTGCTGATGCTGACGATGAGAATGATGCTGATGTTGCTGATGCTGATGCTGATTATGCTGATGCTGATGATGATGAAGGTGATGATGATGATGATGATGATGATGATGATGCTGATCATGATGATGCTGATGCTGATGATGATGATGCTGATGATGATGTTGATGATGAAGATGATGCTGATGCTGATGCTGCTGCTGCTGCTGATGATGATGATGCTGATGATGATGATGATGATGATGATGATGATGATGATGATGATGATGATGATGATGATGATGATGATGATGATGATGATGATGGTGATGGTGATGGTGATGGTGCTGGAAATTATGATGGTGGTGGTGGTTGTGCTGGTGGTGGTGGTGGTAGTGATGATGATGAGCTGGAGGAGGACGAGGAGGAGAAGGAGGAGGAGGAAGATGACGAGGAGGAGGAGGATGAGAGGGAGGAGGAGGAGGAGGAGGAAGAGGAGGAGGAGGAGGAGGAGGAGGAGAGGAGGAGGAAGAGGAGGAGGAGGAGGAGGAGGAGGACGGAGGGAGAGCAGGATGTGGAGGAGGGGAAGATGAGGAAGAGGAGAGGAGAAGGAGGAAGAGGTCGGAGGAGGAGGAGGAGGAGGAGGAGGCGGGAGGCGGAGGGGGAGGACGAATGAGGAGGAGGAGGAGGAGGAGGAGGAGGAGGAGCAGGAGGAGAAGGAGGAAGTAAAGATCGAGGAGGGACAAGGAGGAGCAGCAGGCAGGAGGAGTAGGAGGAGGAGGGGGAGAAGGGAGGAGGAGGAGGCGGAGGAGGAGGAGACGAGGAGGGAAAGGGGAGCAGGAAACAATTGTAGGAGGGAGGAGAAGGAGTAGGAGGAGGAGGAGGAGGAGGAGGAGGAGGAGGAGGAGGAGGAGAGGAGGAGGAGGGGGAGGAGGAAGAGGAGGAGCAGAGGAGGAGGAGGGGGGAGGAGGGAAGAGGAGGAAGCAAGGAGGAGAGGAGGAGGGGGAGAGAAGCAGAGGAGAGGAGAAGGGTATGGAGGAGAGGAAACAGGGAGGAGACAGGAGGAGAAGGAGGATGAGGAGGACGATGAGGAGGAGGAGACACGGAGGAAGAGGATTAGTAGGGGAGGAGGAGGGGAGGAGGAGAAGGAGAGAAGTTTCGGGAGGGAGCCCGCGCCGCTCAGGGGCCGTGGCGGTGCTGGCCCCCGCGGCGCGGCCCACTCGGGGGGGGGGGGGCCGCGGCCCACTCCGCCGCCGCGGCCGCGGACGCTGGCGCGGCGAGGCCCCTGCCAGCGGCCACGCCGGCGCTCCCCGACGACCCGCCCGTGGCGCGGAAGCGGTGGCCCCCAACACCCTTTGGGGAGACCAGAGGAGGAGGAGGAGGAGAAGGAGGAGGAGGAGGAGGAGGAGGAGGAGGAGGAGGACGAGGAGGCCGGAAGATGGGGAGGATGGAGAGGAGGAGGAGGAGGAGGAGGAGGAGGAGGAGGCGGAGGGGGAGGCGGAGGCG